TTAACAGATGAGCATATTTTTAGTATATAAAACTAGATTATATGTGCATATGTATATGTAAATATGTACATAAAACATATGTGCATACATATGTTTACAGATATACATACATGTATATAGATATGTATAGGCATATAATCTTACACCTACATGTAAAATTAGAACGAGAAGAACTCTGGCTTTGAGATGTTCTGCTCTCAGCACTGAGCGAGGCCCAAGGACAGAGCTGATACAGTCCACGCTGGGCCAAAAAGGGCCAGAGCTGTCAGATACATCATGTCACAAGTGCGCACACATCAACTGAACACTGCTAGGTGGCGTGCCACACAATGTCCTAACTGAGCCTGTGCGAGTTGATCTATTTCTTCTCTAAATCTTCAGGAAAGGCCAGGAATGCAAATCAGGCTCGCTGTGATTTTGGCTGAGATCACAACCGCGAAGAGCCGTCATCTCAGATCTCCAGGCCGCGTGTCCGCGCCACGTCCCGCCCCTCGCCCCCCAGGCTGGAAATGAGCACGCTGGCCGTGGGGCCGGAGGGGGGTGAACCAGAAGCTGCCGCGCAGCCCTGCCAGCGTGAGCGTGAGCGTGCGCGTGCACGAGGGGGAGTCTGGGGCCGGAGGCCACCTGTTAGCTTGAGTGCACAGGGCCTTAGGCAAACGCTTCCGGTGACCACTGCGAACTGCCTGACTCTGCGGCAGACAGAGGATGGCACGTCTCCCTTCACACTGCAGACAGCACCTACTCAGGAGTGAAGCGGGAGAAAATGACACAGCCCAGCAGGCAGCTTGACCGTGTCTGCCACACTCACTGTACTATAAAGGGCGCCTGTGCGATCTCTGTTAGCCATTTTTGGCTCTGGGATCAACCCCAGGACACTGCACTGTGAGCCAAGTGCTCTCCCGCTGAGCTGCATGCTCAGCCTGAGGTCTTAGCATAGCTTGGGACATAGGTGGCAGAGAATTGTGAACGGCATTCAAATAATACATTGTACCCATTCCCAAACTCCAGTCTATACATGCTTCATGCTTAGATGGTGGAAACATTAGAAACATGTTGAGGGTCTTATGCTAACTCATAGCTGCAAACCGTTATGCAGAGTTGTCTGACAGCATGTTGCCTATGACAGCCTGGGCAGATACCTCTAATTCTTGGTTAACACAGGGGCCGAGCAGGGTGATACAGGCCTAAAACCCAGAGGAAGGAAGATCGTAGGTCAAGGCCGGATGGGCAAAAGCATGAGACTATCTGAAAAGCAAGCTAAAAGCAAAAGGAGCGGCAGCGTGTTGCTTAAGAGGCAGATCATCTGCCGAGCAAGCACAGGCCTTGAGCTCAGTCTCCAATACCGAAATAAATAAATAAGAACCCACGGGTGGGTTTGTCTTGCTGAAGAAGCAGGTCTGAGCCCCTCACGGTATCTAACATGCGCAGCTCTTTAAGAAGCCCCGCCTCCCACATATTCTATTTCCCAACATGAAATGGTAAACGTCCGGAAGGCGCTGGGTCAGAGAACGACACCGCAGGAAGACACTGGGGCGTTGTTTTCAAGGACAGAGACCAAGAGCGTGGAGTGATGCATGCGGGCCCCTGGGGGGACCGTTCCAGGGAGGCGCTGGGTCGCAGGAGAGCGAGGGGCCTGCACGCCGCACCCGCGCCACTGCACCCCTCTGCCCACGGCGCCAGCCATCGCGCCTGCAGGTTTTCCTTTTACCACAGATGTCATCCTGGAAGCCATGTGGGGCTGGTGTTTCATGGACAGGCGTTTTTGTTTTATCACTGCCATCTTTCACTCAAGTGAACAGTCACTTCTGAAAGGTCTCCCCGTCTCTAGTGCCCTCCTTTCCATCCGTCCTCCAGAGGAGAGGACACGGCCAGAGCAACGTGCTCCCTGTGCAATCCCCTCCGGGGCTCCTGGCTCCTGTGCAATGGCTCACCATCTTCAGCGGGCCCCGCGCGGGGAAGTACACTCACCCCGTTTGGGAAAGCCGTGTCCAACAGAGGGCCGCGTCTGTGTGCTCTGCCACTGTTGGGGGGCAGCCCTTGTTGGTCCCTGCTTTCTAACAGAGGGCCGCGTCTGTGTGCTCTGCCACTGTCGGGGGCAGCCCTTGCTGGTCCCTGCTTTCTAACAGAGGGCCGTGTCCGTGTGCTCTGCCACTGTCGGGGGGGGCAGCCCTTGCTGGTCCCTCGTTCTGCTTCGGTGTGGCAGTGTGCTGGGCTCCCACAGCTGGGCACGCCACAGCTCCACCTCATCTTTACCTTGAGGAGAGCTGTGTCTTCCTCTATGGGTCACATGGAGTCCCATCAAGACAATAGGCACATTTGCCGATCCAACGAGAATGAAAAGCTGAAGGCTTGGAGGCTCCCCAGCAACGCCGCCCCTGGCGCATCACTCCCCAGAGCACGGAGTCCCGCTCTTCAGCAGACGCTCCACACTGCCTCTCTTTACACCCAGGCCTACTTCCCACCAACCTTCTCGGGGCACCCAGTTTGTTCTTTTCCTCAACAGCTATTCATACAGCAAATGCCAAGCACCTTCCGTTCACCAGCCGCCAGGTGTGGGTGCAGCAGACCTTTTCTGTTACCAGGCTTCTACAAGGTACATCTCTTCTTCTCAGCCTCAATGGAGAAACTCACAACCAAAGAACTAGGGCTAGGGCTGGGCTTCAGCCCCATCGCAGAGAGCCCAGGTTTGACCCCCGGGCTTGGGAAAAAAAATTGTCTCCTATTTTCAGGGAGTTTTTTACATTTGTGCCAATCACTGATACAAAAATGAGCGCTTGTCCAGATGATTACATAAGAAATATCAGTTAAGTCAACCCAGCCAACACCGAGGCCACCATCACCAGCCTAAGTCTCTGAAAGTGGAAATTAGCACATGCTCAACAATATATTCCCTCACACGTCATCCAAGGCGACTCCAACAATTAAATGGGAACCATAGCTTATTTTCACAAAAGAAGTCCAAAATGTCCAGTTTTCAAGGCTGTACACAGAATCATCTTTAATCTGATCTACCTGAACTGTGACTCAAGGCCCTCATGAAATTTAAGCATCATTTAAAAGTGGATGCTCTCAGGTGACTGGAGTGGAAATTCATGAAGCCAGTCATCAGTCCGAGCTCCACTCTTCTGAGACTTTCTGCTCGAATTCCTCACTTCCTTTTTCCCTCCAGCCTCAATCCACAACGTCCCTCATAACTACCTGTTACATGCTGCACCCACAGCGAGCAGCAACCCGCACCGCGCCCTCTCTTTGCCAGGCCAGCAGGCTCGGGCAGTCTACAGCTACAGCTCTGGCAAGAGAGGAAGGGAGGGCTGGGAAGGTGGCTCAGTGGTAGAGCGCTTGCCTTGCATGCTCGAGGCCCTGGGTTCGATTCCTCAGCACCACATAAGCAAAAAGAAAAAAGCCGGAAGTGGTGCTGTGGCTCAAGTGGTAGAGCGCTAGCCTTGAGCTGAAGAGCTGAGGGACAGCGCCCAGGCCCAGAGTTCAGGCCCCACGACCGGACCCCCCCCCCCAAAAAAAAGAGGGGAAGAGAAGCAGAGTGGAAAATGACGCGGACAGCCGAGGAGCCAGGAGGCGGAAGAGATGCTTCTTTAGTAAGAGACAGAGCTCCTGTAGAAATGGCTTTCCAAGCTGTCGGGAGTGTTTTGAAAGGAGTTGGTGGTGGTAATGGTGGTATAGTGTTTACTTTTGTTTTCTCATTTGCAAAAAGCAAGATGAATCACACCTCTCCTAGGGTAGCAGTATGATTTAAAGAGCTCAGCAAAGGTCATCTGTTTGCTGACCTTTCCATGGAAGAAGTACCTCCCAGCCCAAGCTTCCCACACCAGGACAGGGTGCGTAAGCAGTCAGCACAGGAGAGAATTCACTGCCAACCCCAGACTCACAGGACCAACCTCAATGTTGATCAAGGTCAGTTACAAAAAAAAAAAGTGAAAATAAGCTCTTAAATAGTACATATGTTTTGACATTTCCAGAGAATTTGAATTCCTTTACTGAAGTTAAAGTTAATCATCAAATTGTCTACATAAAAAAGCATGTGGAAAATGGAAAGCATTGTAAGACACGAATGATCTCTTGCAAGAACTGAAAAATGCAACTTGCGGTACTTCCAAAAACATATTACAGTAAGATAGAAAGGATTTTTAACTCTGATTTGCATGCCCTTTATAGCCAAATAAAATTGTGATAATTACACCCCTCTATAGTTTTGCCATCATAGAGTATTTTATATAATGTTTTCATGCTGAATTATAAGCAGCATTTTATGTTGAATTAAAAACAGGTCAGACCTGAGCTGTTAAAATTTCTAAAACATACTCACCCTCCATCTATGCCAACTAAAATCTAGCTCTACATAACTTATAGCCTCTAAATGGTTCTGTAAGACTAATATAACTTTTTGGTGCACTTTTATATAAATGAATAATAAGTCACAGGACCAAAATGATTCCCATCTAATATAAAGCAGAGTACCATAATGATCATAATTTCTGCTTCTACAGAGATGTCAAATTCTCAAAAAAAGAGAAACCTTGTATCAACAATGACCAGGGGCCACTTGAAGGAGGACCTTCCACGTCTTCCGTGTCCGGCAGACGCCACAGCAACAGTGTCCACGGGCCTCACTAACTGCACTGGTGTTAGCAATTTCTCTCTCAAGATGTCCTATTACCTTAGGCTTTTTAAACACACTACTTAATAAAAATTGCACTCACAGCACCTGCGACCGCATATTATCATAAAGGATAAAAGTTTCCAATGACTGATCTCTAACTCAATTTCTTCAGAGAAGCAAGATACAATTACACCAGAGAAGCAAGCAGGAAAAGGAATGTGAGGGCATATTGTCAAATTAAATATCTATTAAATAAATGTTCAAAGCTACCTCCCACTAATAGACAGCGGACGCCTGCATTGTGAAAACTGTTTACCACAACAAGATCCGGTTCATGCAAGTTTAGAAACACATTACAAGAAAACTGCATTACTCGGGGTCTTACCTCGTCATCTTTATACCAGGACAAGCTTTCTGCAGTGAGGACAAACCAGTATCCCTTGGAGCCCCCTTTCATGATGCCAATGTTGCTGATGGTCAGCCAGCCCTTACGAATGACCTGCAAGAGAGCAGACACCAGCAGAAGAGTTTAACACAAGCCAATGGAGACTGCATCCTTGGACTCCTGAAGTCAAAACAAGTTATAAATTGCAATAAGAACAGCCTGTTCTCCTAAAACTCAACTTCTATTGAGCTATTCAAGAGGACATCGCTGCTAAAACTGAAGATGACCAGGAAGAGGTCTTTTCCATTGGTGAATAAACTCTTTGCCTGGTGGGAGCAGAGTGACTGAAACAGACAGGAATGAAATGGGGCAGCCGAGCAGACTGGTGCCAGGCCTATTTATGGCACGGCTGCCACAATTAAAACGCATTTCGTTGATTGGATGAACAACAGACACTCCATGCCCACTGCCTCTTCTCTCCTTCCAGCCTGCTGGTCCACTTGTCTGCCTGCTTTGAAGCTCATTAGGATCTACAGCAGAGAATGGCCAGAAAAGGGAGAAAAGCAGAAACTCAAACCAACCAATGAGCTCCTTGTTACCAGCCAGGAAGATCCTGATAGAGGAGAAAAGCTGAAATCATGAACTAAAATTAAAAGTTGGAGGATTTTTAATGGCCCTGATTTAGCCAGCTACTTCTGTTGAGTGCCACACACAAAACATGCAGCATCTTCATAAAAATCTTTACATAGTATTCAAATTTTAAAACACATCTTGGTGCCAGTGTAATCCTAACTATTCAGGAAGCTGAGATCTGAGGATCACGGTTCAAAGTCAGCTTAGGCTGAAAGTCACTGTGAGACTCTTATCTCCAATTAACCACCAGAAAACTAGAAGCGGTTGCTCAAAGTAGTAGACTGCTAGCCTTGAGCAAAATTTGAGCTCAGGGACAGCACCCATGCCCTGCATTCAAGCCCCATGATCAACAATAAATAAATATATACATACATAAAAACATAAATAAATACATAAATAAGCAACACAACTTAGGTTTCAGGTTTGATGGAAATTATTTATAAGTAGCATTTAACAGAAAATCATTTGTTCCCTCACAGTGGTTGTAAAAGGAAACTCTTCCACATGATGTAACAGTTTACTCTATCCTCTGTGCCAGCTAGCTTTGCTGTCATCGAACCAGAAATACAATTGTATCTGCGATTGGCTGATGGTATTCCAAAGGTAAAACTCTGCCCTCTACCAGAATTATCATAAAATAGCAAAAAAAAACAAACCCACATTGAATGACTAGGTATCAGTTCCTAAAATTGATGAAAATGCTGTAACAATCAGATGTTGGTTTTCTAGTTAAAGGAGAAAGGCCTGGTTGAGGAGAAAATGATCCACTGAGGAAGGTTCTCCTGGGTCCTCCTCCAAGTGTCTCTGCACACTTGTGGACCTGGCTGACCTCCGTCCCTGACTCAGTCACTCTTTGGAGCTCCAGTGCAAGTACAGACACCCACGGGCTATTCCTCGTAGGTCCAGATTATGGAATTTATCTCCACTGATCAAAATTCCCCCTTCTCACTCTTTACAGAAGAATGCAAACACTAACTCTCAAAGTACGCTTTCCACCAACTACATTATAGTCATTGCGTTGCTTTCTACCACTCTGAACAAATCACATGACATTTATGAAAACCCCAGGGGTCTACATTTTTAACATATTCCCGAGGGAATTCTTTTTGGGGGAGGAGGTAGGGTGGGGTCAATTGTGGTGCTTGAACTCTGGGCCTGGGCACTGTCCCTCAGCTCTTCAGCTCAAGGTGAGCACTCTACCACTTGAACCACAGCACCACTTTTGGTTTTCTGGTGGTTTATTGGAGATAAGAGTATCACGGACTTTCCTGCCCGGGCTGGCTTTGAACCAGAGACCCTCAGATCCCAGCCTCCTGAGCAGCTAGGATGACAGGTGTGTGCCACCAGCGTGGAATTCTTATTCATACTGAAATGTGAAGACTCCTGCATGTACACATACAATACCTAAAACCCAACTTCATTGTCCGTAGAGCAACTGATCACAGCACTTGTTCTGGTAAGAGAGCTGGCTAAATTATTTCTCACCGAGGTTGTTTTACACTACCCTACATAATCATATTTTCAATCGAAATTCTACTAATTCTTTCATTTTATTGGCTAGCTTTAGACTTTGAAAAACCCTTCCAGGTGCTCTGAAAGTTTCAATAAGCAAATGATCATTTCACCTATGGACACAACAGGTTGTACCATTAAGAGGAACCATGAATTTTAGTTCAATGAAAATATTTTCAAAGCCTGTCATCATCTGGGTTTTTAAGCCCGCAGATGCCATCACCCACACCTTACGAGTATGAGAGTTGTGAGGGAAGCAGGCCCAGGAAGGCACAGTGTCGCGTCTCAAGGACAGAACTCTTACGCAATCCTCGGTGGGAGTGCCACGTCGGAAGAAGGGGCATCTGACTGGCTCTGGGCTCCCGGAGCGTGGGAAGGTGGCCACAGGCCCATCCACAGACAAGGACAAATAAGAACAAGTGTGAGAGACCCACCGAGCGCAGCGACATGAGGGAGCAGGGAAGGGCAACATTTCCAGAAAGAAACGCGCTCGCTGCCTGACTCGCGCACCTGTAACCCCTCTGGACATCACCTTTGTAATCACGGTATGTTTTAAAGTTTGGACTGAGAAGGACCTTGGGTGAAAATGGAATGGTTCAGTGACACCCTACATTTCAGAATGATCTCATTACCCTGGAATGACAAAAATACATTAATATTTATTTCAAAAATCTTTGTATGACTGTTATGCTCATAAATTATATGCTGTACATCAAAATATAGATTGGGGAGTATGGTGTAAACAATGAAATATATATTTTCTATTTTTAAAATGATTTGTGGGGCAGGCTGTGGTATCGGCTGAGTGGTGGGGTGCTACTCTGTAACACACAGGTCCCTGCGTTTAATCCCAGCACCACACACCCACGCACCCACCCCACTTCACACCGCACCCCCACACATTGTAAAGGTATACATATATATTATTATATTTATTGTCTTATCACTGACCTCTTGGCGATACACAGAAGGGATGTGGGCATTAATACATAAATGAAACATGAACAAACTGGATCTGTTTTCCTCTTTTATGTGCATGCCATGTATTTGTACATAGGATGTGAACCCCTACGACTGCATTTCAATGGTGCTTTCATGCTCCCTGGGATAAAGAAATCGGGTTTTATAAACCATCATCATTACCTAAGAGAAAAATGACCAGAGCACAAACTAAGGACATCATGTACAAGGGTAAGAAAAATTAGTTTACTGAGCATCTAGAAGATAAAACCAACAGGACTTTGGACTGGATGAGAGAGGCACATGTAAGGGAGACTCTAGAGCTGGTGGAGTAATTACTAACAAGTAATCACGCATGGCTATCTGCACTGCAGTGACCACTCTTAATTACAATGTGAAGTAGTAGAATGAACACAATTTTCAAAACTTAAATTTTGAAAGCATTTTTAATAATCTAACTTTTAAAAATATATAAGGAAATAATCTACATAAACTTGGTTAAATAAAATCTACTTTTGAAAAATAAATTCAGCTTTACTGTTTTTAATTTTAGCGTAGCTACCAAAAGGTTATATACATATAGGTAGTGAATCTTACTTTTACTGGACAATACGCTGTTTAGAATGATTATGAAACTCTTGGATATACTGTGTTTTAGAATCAACCATTACAAATATCAGCAGGAATAAGAAAGACACATTACTGATTAATCTACACAAGGGCTTATGGGATCTGAGGTACTTGTAGGGTGCACAGAAGAGAGGCAACTTCCAAAGCAAAGGGGGAAATTAGGGCTGAGCTTGTAGCTCATGTAAACTATCATCATGTATGCCGATGGCCGCTACAACTCTGAACTTGTAGCTCATGTAAACTATCATCATGTATGCCGATGGCCGCTACAACTCTGAACTTGAAGCTCATGTAAACTGTCATCATGTATGCCGATGGCCGCTACAACTCTGAACTTGTAGCTCATGTAAATTGTCATCATGTATGCTGAAGGCCGCTACAACTCGGAGCAACATAGCAGCGGCGCAAGGTGGAGTCCCTGGAGAATACTAGCATTTACAAGGTGCCCATCAAGACAGAGAAGAGCAGGAAGGCCATGGGAGTTAAAGGCATGGTACACTACAACAAGTAAGTGTCTAAGAGCATCACGTCCATCATAATAAAGGACTTCAAACCCAATGCCTAGGCCAAAGGCTTTAGCTACACTACTTTCAATGTGGTGGTAGGATGAAGAGTCAAGAGTTAACTGGGTTGAAAAGTGAATGGAGAGTAGTAGAAAAGAGAAGCCATGGATGAAGATGGTACTCCCCATGAGAGGGCCCAGGATAAGGAGGAGGAGGAGGAGGTGGAGGTGGTAGCAGAGGAGGAGGAGGTGGGGGAGGTGGAGGTGGAGGTGGAGGCAATGGAGGAGGTGGAGGTGGAGGTGGTAGAGATGGAGGTGATGGAGGTGGAGGTGGAGGTGGAGGTGGAGGTGGTGGAGGTGATAGAGGAGGTGGAGGCGGAGGTGAAGGAGGAGGTGGTGGAGGAGGAGGTGGGGGTGAAGGCGGTGGAGGTGGAGGTGAAGGCGGTGGAGGTGGAGGTGAAGGAGGTGATGGAGGTGGAGGTGGAGGTGATGGAGGTGGTGGTGGTGATGGCGGTGGTGGTGGTGATGGTGGAGGTGGTGGAGGTGGAGGTAGTGGTGGTGGAGGTGGAGGAGGTGGAGGTGGTGGAGGTGGTGGTGATGGTGGAGGTGGTGGTGGTGATGGAGGTGGTGGTGGTGATGGAGGTGGTGGTGATGGTGGAGGTGGAGGTAGTGGTGGTGGAGGTAGAGGAGGTGGAGGTGGTGGTGATGGTGATGGTAGAGGTAGAGGTGGTGGAGGTGGAGGTGGAGGTGGAGGAGGTAGAGGTGGAGGTGGAGGTGATGGAGGTGGAGGTGGTGGTGGAGGTGGAGGTGATGGAGGTGGAGGTGGTGATGATGGTGGAGGTGGAGGTGGAGGTGGTGGAGGTGGTGATGGTGATGG